GCGCTTGCATATTCCCATACTCAGCGTGTGCTTATGAACATCAATCCACGAAAACATTTTTTTTACCTCTAGAATAACATACTCCATGCCTTAACATAATACACTGTCTTCTGAGCAGTAAGAAGTGCCTTAAAACGCGTAAGCCCACCTGCATTGACTTCTGCTATATTAGCAGAGGGGTTGTGTACCTGAATAAACCACTTAGGATAGCAAAGAGAATGTAATACAGTCATTTTTGCACTAACTGGCTGGTTCATTCATGAGAAAGAAGATTCTGTGTTGGAATGCTGCAGGCAGCTTTCTTTATGGACTTTACTGGGCAATATTGTATTTTCCCCCTCTCCCGCATCCTTTTGTATGTGTGCATGGATACAATTCAGGTCAATTCTGCTAACTTTATTCCATGTTTCGCACTCTTTTAAAATTAAAAGGGAATAATAATGTGCAATGGTGTAAACAGTCTTTCTGTATATTTTAATAATTCAGAGCTATAGTAGTCTCAATGGTAGAGAGTCTTTATTAGGCAAGTTTTATTTACAAATATGGCAAATTTTTCATAGTAATTTTTGTACTTTCTTTCAGAGATATTTTTCACCCTTTGTTACATATATGTAACGCATCTATGTTTCTGTACTGCTGTATTTAACTCATGTAGTTGAAAGAAATTGTATTTATAGACTACCTTTAATATGGAAATGTCATTATCAGCACAATATTCAATCATTTGTCTTCATTCTATGAAGCTGTTTTTAAAAATAGTAAACATTTATTTTAAAAGCATCAATTTCATGGAATTTTTGTCTGCTAGATTTACAGTTTTATTAATTGGGAAACCTTCTGTAAAAGAAACCTGATTTGATGTCAGCCTGAGGAAGCTAAGACACATATTCTACATTCAATTAAATTAATACATAATTCTTGACCTTCTTCCAGTCATAGTGGCTTGCAATATAAATATTGGCAGTTTTTTAAAGCTTCAGTTCCATATCCTGTTGTTCTACAGTATACCTGAAGTGATTTACAGTTACCAAAACATCTTCCAGAAATTCAAATAGGGCAAATCCTCAAGACAGTAACAGTATTGCAATGAAATGATACAAGCCATATATAACTATTTCTCTCTGCTGTACCTGAAAACTCAATATAGCCAACTATAACAAAATATACAATATATAAATTACAATACAAATCTCAGCAAATATGAATGTACGTACTAAAACACGTTTATTTCAGGTTTGAGGAAATTAACTGCTGAAAGGATTATAGTACATGCCCTCTCAAGTCTTTATATGAAATGCTTCATAAACGTTATCACAACAGAAAGATTGTCTCTCTCATGTCTCCCCTTGTAAGCAGGAAAGAAAGAGGGAAAGGTAGCCTCAACCATCTGAACATTACAATCTTAGGTCCACTTTAGGGCTTTGGGGAAAAATACTAGGACTTATTTCTTTGAAGTGGGGGGTATAACCCTAGGAATAAATATTTTATCCCACTCTGTTTTTCCAGGATTAACAGTTTGGAGGGAATACCTTGTATCTTATCATCCTACCCTGTTGAAGGAAATTGTATCTCTCTAGAAATCTTATAAGGCAGACTATTTTTCAAGGCATCATAGCTTTTGGGGAAACATTTTCAGGAACAGAACAAGGGCACAATCCACTTCACCCGATTAAGAGGTTAAGTCTAGAAATGCTGAAAGCAACATAAATAGATCTAGAATTCTTGATTGATTAACAAGTGGCCAGTTTTCCTTTTCCTGGATAAGACGCTTGAGTTGTGATGGCTGATCAGATTTAGGCACTATTGAATTAAATTTCTTTTCTAGACCCAATTCAATCAAGATGTAGCCCTTTATGGAAGATCAATATCATTCTATTGATCCATCTGGACCCTCTCAGGTAATATTCAATATTCTGAATCATGATACTCATCAAGGCAGGCTGCTAAGTTATAGGGAGAAGAGTTGGAATGTACTTGGAATCCCATATTCAGAAGATAGTCCTAGGCAATTTTTCTTTGATTGAAAGGTATTTTATTTAATGTTGTGGCATTTTTGCAGTGTTCTAGTTTATCCTACATAACTTTAACATTTACATGAATTAACGGAGAGATTTGGGGGTGCTTACAACACACAGCTGTCTCCTTTTCACTGGATCCATATGAGGCAAGAGCTAAATTAATTACTAGTTATAGCAGTGGTTTCCCCCCCCCCCCCTTGTGTTAAGAAATTTGTTTCTGGAAAAGTAGTACAAGAAATATCCCAAGAATAGACCCACTAATAATTGCAATATCTAGTCCAGAAATCACCAAATGATTTAAATGAGATGTTCAAAAAAATTTCTTTCTATATCCCAGTCATTTAATAGCTTTTAGTAACTGACATTATTCTCCCATAATTGTAATTATGCATATTAAGCTGTTTATAATCTGGGCTTCAGATTCCAGAATTTTCTGTAGGGTTGAGAAAAAGACCATCTTAAAATCATCATAATGGTAGGATGCTTTATTCGGAGTGAGAGGTCAGCATTCTCTGGCACTCCCTGAAATATCATTCTGATAATTTAATTGCTATTTTAATAGGTAGTACTGAAAAAGAAAATTTAAATTTTTTCGTGCTTGCTGGAAGTGACTTATTTTTATATGAATGGTGCCCAAGTCCTATCATCTTCTTACCAAAGTGAACAATTTAGACAGCAACTGAGAAAGATAAGATGATCATTTAAGATGAGATACCAAAGTTATTAAGAATATATTTGGCACTCATAGTACTAAAATAGATATCATATTTTTGGTGATGTACTACTTCCAATACCAGAACCATAAACCAATTACTGGGAACATCAGCAGAATACTATTGTGCTCAAGTTCTCCTTGCAGACTTCCCATGCCTACCTGAGTAGGTATGTTAACAGGATATGTATGAGTCTTTGGAAAAAACTATCAACATTAATAAGCAATATAATTACATTGTTTAAGGACAACATAACATTTACAGAACAATGTGGACTTTCAAAATGGAAAAAAGGGGGTAGAGGAAGATGAGTATTTCCCATTTAAGCTATATCTGTATTAGGTTACAATCTTCAGTGTAAAATCATGTACTGTAGATTGGATCCAAAGGTAGGGAAGTAATCTTAAATTTGCATTAAGGACCCAGAAAGCTGAAAAGACATTTTTCATTTTCAGCATTTCAAACCCTATTTCCATTCTTAAAAAAGTCGTATCTCTCATAAGTGGAAAAGGGAAATTTTACAATAGAGATGGAGTTATCACAGGTTTTATAGATATGATGGTTCATAGGAGAGATTAAAACACAATCTATAAATATACAAAATGGATAGCATGTTCTTCACAAAGTAAATATGGCATACTCTACAGAATATCTTTGAAAATTTTGATTGCTGAATATAAGAAGAAAAATTTTGGTAAGAAAAATTTTGTTCTTAGATGCAACTTTAAATTCTGACCCAAAATGTTGGACTTGTGTTATTTTATGTATTTATTATAAATTCTTTTAAATATACTGGAGAGTTAAGTGAGAGTCACTGAGGTCCGCCGAATAAGGTTTTTAGGTTAAAAGAAAATCGAAATGATAAATTTCGTCATTGGATAGTATGTTAATTGTAACAAATAGTAAAATTATTTTAAATATCCAAAACTTTTTCAAAGTAAGTTTAGACAGAAACCGTGAGACGTCTGTTCATTTTATAGATTTTATTTCTTTTTGAGCAAATAAAACACTTTCAGAACTAGGGGATACTTCAAGTTAATTACTCAATGGGAAAAGCTGCCATTCTGTTAAGAAATAAAAAGGGCTTTCAAATGAGCTCCACTGGGTTGGAACTGATCTCATTGTTTGATTGGTAGTCATCACAATTTGTTGCAGCCATTTGATATCTTACAGCAAAAACAGTGTTTCGCTATTAAGATCATATTAGATCATATCGTGATAGATCATATTATAAATCACTAGGGATTACTCAGAAACACTAAGCATGGGGATACTATTGTTTATTGAAGAAGGAAGAGCATGACACTAAAATTCTTCTACGACAAAATTAAAATACTGGAAGTGAATAGATGTTTTTACCTGATAGACTTATTTGTAGTTTTACCTATCAGAGGGTTTATCATACATTTGACAACACTAACAAGATAGAATTAACCTTCCTCTTCTCTCCACCCATCTCCGATATTCCCCGATGAATGCAGATAAAAACAACACTGAGTGAAATCGATGTAGTACAATCCAGGTGGCAGCTCTCCCCAGTCCTAGTAGGGGGAGGGAAATCTTTTGCCAATAACTTTTTAAATGATACATTAACTATGGGGGCTAAGACAAACCCTTTGTAAGCAAGATTGTTGAAAAATGTTAGGTAAATATTTTGAGAAAACGAGGGTAAGTATTAAAAAAGATGATACTAGTGCGCGCTGTGTGCACTTTTTAAAATACGTATACGTGTGCGGAGAGATTTTGCAAACAGATCTGGATAAGAAAACAGATGGGAAAGAAGAACCGATTGTTAAATCAGAAAAAAATCCAATATTGGAGTTATCACACTTTTTCTGAAGACGACTTTTTCATTTTTCTGGCAAAGCAATACATTTTCTGCCTCCACTTGCTCGCTCCTTTGCGTTTCTAATGCCTGGAGCGGACGCTTCGACGGTGACTTTGCAACGAGTTCGTGCAATCGATTACATCCTCCCCCCCCAAGTTTTCCCCGGCCTTGGTCCTCCCCTTTCTCAACACGCCCCACTCTGTAAGACAGAGACACGCGCGTTATTTGCACGCCACTCAGACAAATCTCACCTTCCCCCTCACGCTCGTTACCCACCCTGAAGCCTATTTCCCCCCTCCCCCTCCCACTCTCTTGCATGCTTGGACACCCTCGCCCCAAAGTAGCCAATCACCAGGACTTGCTAGTCTCTTCGGAGGCTTCTTATTGGCTCCTGCCTGCAAAGGGGCGGAATACGAGGCTTGAGTATGCCCGGATGTTCCCAAGCCTCCGCTGGCTTGGCGCCTCTGTCTGGTGTCGGGTGCTGTAAGCGACATGGATGGCGGGGAGGAGCAGGTGATGTTGCCACCGAGCCCTCAGGAGGGGCCCCGGTTAGAAGAGGCGGCGGCGAAACAAGAAGAGCAAAGCGTTGAGTTCCAGCCGGCTACGGAATATTGGCCCGTGATGGAGGCGCTGACTTGGAAGAGGCCGTTCTGCACTCTGGCCAGCTTCCTCTGCGCCAACCTGCTCTTCTGGTGAGCGACGCAGCCGCGCATCTCGGTCCCCGGACGGTGCTTTTAATTAGACTCAAATAGAGATTTGCTTCTCCCCCCCCCCCCCAATCCTCCTCCTCCTCCTCCTTCGGCCCGCTTTCTCGCCCTTTAGCGGCTCCGCTCTGCCATCTGTTCCTTGGTTCTGATAGAAAACGTGTTAAGGGCGCGCTAGTGAAAAG